TGAAGCATCTTGCACATTTCAATCATCATAGTTTTGTCCATACATATATTGAACTAGTTATTATAAATATGAAATCCTATTAAATATTGACTATACAGGACTTTGGAAAGCTTGAGAAATAATATGTTTCAAAATATTTCTTGAAAAGAGTTTGGAAAAACAACAATCCTACATTTTGGTAAATTTTTTTAATGTTTTTATTATTTGCCCTTGTGTTTAATTTCATATATTACATCTGAACTGTTATAGTTTACCATAAAGAGTTACTTCACATTTAGTGTATATGGCAATGTTTGCATGTAATTCATCAGTGTTCTATCATATAATATCACACAACTCTCTGACATCATTCTTTTTTTGGGTTTTCCAAAACAGAGTCATGACATATCATTTTTTTAAACTTTCCCATTGTTTGTACATGAATTTTATGTGCACTTAAATGTTAAAATGAAGAAAATCTTCTTTTGATAATCTTTGACTAACAAATGACTTGTATAAAGTGTTAAACTTTGTGACTGAAACACATAGGTAGTATGTGAAACTATAATATGTAGCTTTGAAGAAACTAGAACAGGGCACCAGATTTTTTTGGTTAATTAATCAAAGGAATTTTTTTAAAAAACCATAGTTCAAACTTTTTAATCTCTTCATACGGGTCATATATATTAGTTAAGCATAGAGATATACAAAGATGTATAAGAGCATTGAAAACTTGTTTTTTATTTTAAAAACAAATACCATATTGTGTACCTCATCAGAACATAGGCTGGTAAATGTAGCAAAAGAACCTAAAGTGTGTCAGTATTATTACATGATTGAATGTTATACAGAGTTCTTGTAATATTATATCTTTTCTTTTGTAAGTGAATAACTTCTCTTTCAATCTAAAGCATAAATTAATACTAGAAGATTAGAAATGATTTCTCCATACTCTATAATCTACCTTGGATTAATTGTACCATCTGGCCATTATCAGATAGGCTTCTGAAGTATTGTACAGGAATGGAAAGCATAAATTGGGATACATGTTGCCTACACAAAAGGAATCATGAGGCATAAGATTTTGAACTATATATATATGTATATAACCCTAACATATAAAGGAACAATTTTAATGATGAAGTGAAAAATTGTTCTCAGAAATGTAATTGTCAACAAGTTGTAATATTTCAATGAATATAATTTTAGTGAAAATGTTTGTTCAGATAAAAAAAAAAGATCCTGCTGTTCTGTTACGTATAGGTTTGTAGTTGTGTATTCACTTCATAAAATGAATTTTTTCAACTTATTAGCTTCAATTTTGTATTTTTCATTGTTAGTCATCAAAATCATTTGAAAACTTGTTTTTCAAGTTAAACATTTTTTTGCAGAGAATTGTAATAAAGGGACCTAAAATGCTTTTGTTAATTCAGTAATACATCGCCATTTGCTGTAAACGTGGATGTGCTTCAAGTTACCTTTTCTCCTTTAAATGTGATACTTTTTTTTAATCATTCGTTGTGTACATCTTTGCTATAACTTGTCAATAGTTACAAATGTTGATGTTTTTTTTTGTCTTTTTCTTGTTTACGTTTTTCTAGTTAACTGTTAATCTAACTTCCTTTCTGCTAGATAGTTTTATAGCTGAAGATGGCTTTCTTCTTACATATATTATTGGACTTCTTTTGCTAGACACTGGACCTACCTGTAGATTCTCGCTCCTCTTCTGGATCCAGCACAGCCAGTGGGAGTATCCCAGGGTTCCTGAGACCTTCCTCTACCACAACTAGTATTACAGGGGACTTGCTGTCCTCTGCATCACCACCTTTTACACACCCTCATGCCAACCACCACTATCTGCACAGAATACATTACATCCGCCCTGCTCGGAATGTAGGAGGGTCTACCAGTGGCAATAGTGGCGTGGGAACAGCTGGAGGAAGTGGCAGTCATCCAGGAGACAAAGGACACATAGAAGAAATATGGAAAAAAGACAAAACTAAAACATTTTACAAAGAACAAATGCTTTTTGACAGTGATAAGATTGAAACAATCCCAACTGAACCCTACTCTTATGTACAATTTGCTAAAGATAAGCCATCTAGGACTGAGCATGAATATTCTTACCCTGTAATGGACTCCTTTAGGCTCGGAAAACGGGACTCAATAAACAGTTTGAAAAAACAACAAAATATAATCACCACACAACCTCCTTTGCTGCCAACAAAGTGTAAGAAAAAGAAAGATAGACGTAAAGAAACCAGGAAGCAATCACCACTTACTAGAATTCATTGTCGTTATTGTCAAGAGATGTATAATGAGGAAGACAACAGACGAGGTAGTTGCGAGTATGCCCCAGACGGTGTATTGTCTTGTATCAATGCTACAACCTGTATTTCATGTGCCCAGTGTATGTTGTACCACTGTATGTCAGATGCAGAGGGTGACTTTAATCATCATCCTTGCTCTTGTGACAACTCGGATAACCAGTGTCGCCGTCGCTGGTTTGGTTTGGCTTTTCTCTCACTCTTTGTACCATGTCTGTGGTGCTATATACCTCTTCAAGCCTGCCACCATTGTGGTGTTCGATGTAATCTCTGTGGAGGCAAGCATGACGCTGCCTAGTTTATCATCATGTCAACCATTGTGAAAAATAGAAAAGATAAACATATCTATAAGCTAATGATATACTAACGTGTCGAGTGTGCATGCATGTTTAGATGTGTATGTATATTGGAATTCAGAAGATTGTTTTGAAGTTTTCTTCTAAGAAGCGATATTTACATAGTTGTTTCAGTCTTGTTTTTAGTCAATAAGAAAAGAGACTTATCCAGTAGTTCACTGCAGAAAAAGTAAAACAAGCAATTTTTGATAAACATTACCTTCGCTGACAGTCTTCTTTTAAGTTACCCTGCCATCTATGATGGCTAGCTTTTTTTTCTCTAACAGGAGCCATGAATTGAAGACTAAACTTACATACCACTAATATGTTCATATGTCAGCAACCTACAAAAATATCATTTCCAACTCCAATAGTTTTAAAATACCCAGAAGACTAAACTTACATACCACTAATATGTTCATATGTCAACAACCTACAAAAATATCATTTCCAACTCCAATAATTTTAAAATACCCAGAAGACTAAACTTACATACCACTAATATGTTCATATGTCAGCAACCTACAAAAATATCATTTCCAACTCCAATAGTTTTAAAATACCCAGAAGAGATTATTTCTAACTTCATCACATGTCTTAAAAATACCACAGGAAAGATTATTCCTAACTCTAGTACAAGTCTTTGGAATATCATCTAAGATTACCGATATAAAACACTGCACAGAAAAGATTATGCTTAATCCCATGACAAATCTCAGACATACCATATGCATTGTTCTAAGACACAGTAAATCTAAATTTATGTAAGCATGATTTGTTTGCAGAAAGTCTTGATTGTTGTATTTATGATGCAAGATGTGGAGATGAAACTAAAACAGTGGTGCTATGATTGCTTGTGTGTGTCTTTGGCACACAGTGGTGCTCTGAGTGTGTTTCTTCCTGACAGTCTTGATCATTTTAAAGAGTTTTATCTTGTTCTCTCATACTGTGCATTTACTTGACCTAGCCATGGAAGTCATTCAGAGGTTGGCTTATTTTTATTAACTGCACTGGGAATAAACTTGCCAAATCTGTTTGTAAAGTCTCTAGTTTAGTAAATTTGTCTACTTGCACATTCTTGACCAAACTCTGTTGACTGAACAAAAAATGTAACTTTTACACTTTTTACAACAAAAGAAAAACTGATGTGACATTGTTACATCTGATAAACTTTTTAAACTACATGAGAACTATTAATTCCTGACTTGTTGAGTATTAATGCAAACCAACATGATAAATATGTAGTTTTTTAATAATTTAGAAAAGCAGAAAGAAAATTAGTAGTAAATACGACACAATCTCCACTTGATGAAAACTGCTTTCATAAAGGTTTTGTATGTTGTCATTTGGTGTAAAAATAAGTGTAATCTAATTTTAAAGCTTATTGTTTTTAGTGAGGTAATATATTTCAATTACTTGTTAGATGCACAACAGTGAAAAGTTCCATTCGACAAATGAGTAAATATGAGGTTATGGTATGGTAAGAATATTTTGTGATGAATTAATATAAAAAAAAAGACTATTGGGAGATGATCGCTCCTTCAAGTGATACAGTGCAGTGAACGAGGGTTAAAATATTAGCTAGCTGCTATTTTTATAAAATATTGTACATAGCTTTGTGGTCATGACAAGGACCATATTGAAATCAAAGTACACAATCATAGGCATGAAAAGCTAGATATGATTTTATTCTGTTTAATATAAAGTATTTTTATGACCAGCTACCTTCCAGTATAGACAGCGGTGGCAAAAGAATCGGAGTAAAGCTTGGGTAATGCTTTAGCCCATCTTACGGATATGTTATTACAACCCAGGCTCTTTGTTAGTGTTCTGTGGCTGTTATTAGAATTCCATTTAACTTTACTATATATTTTTAACTTTTACTCCCTCAAATGACCCATGAAGATAGGTCACCCAAGTTTAAAATTTGCCTGTGCCTTATGTTTTTGTGTGCATATTTCCCATGCGATTTTGTATATACTATAAGCTTTTTAAAAGGATATTTTCTTCTACAGCAAACTTAAACTTGTGTTCTGTTTTAGAAAGTTGAAGTGCTTCCTGCAGTATTTTTTATTACAATTAGCAAACACTTTGAAGTGAATGTTGACGATTAACCAATTCCCTCACTATCCTAAATTACCAGTCATTTTGTACATATTTGCTGATAGTGTGTGCTTACAACACAATGTTTTTAGCTATTTCTTTCACCAGTACAAAAAAAATTCATCCTGATGTTTTACATTATAAAAATTATTAAAAGACATGAATTCAAAATAAACATAGGTTTAAGATTGAATACTTCAAAAGTTTCTGATTTTTAACCATAATTGGTTTTTTTTATAAGGAATAATAGATCATATTTTGTTTCTCCTAAATTGCAAACATTCTGAGTTCTGCAGTACATGTTGTGAAAGATAGTATGCTCTTAATGAAAATTTCAGAACTGTTTCATGAAGAAAGAAGTGCCTGAAGCCCATTTTCTGTAAATTACTCTGTGTTGTCTACAGCCCAATGATGTGCTTTGAATATTACAAAATTTAGATTGAAGCTTAATTTTACAGAATACTACATTCTTAGATAGATTTACCTACTTATTTCTTTTCCGTTCTTTGTTATTTAGGTATTGATACACAGTTCTCTTGAAAACCTTGTGTGTAACAAGTTGGCGACTACATTAATCATATCAAATTCCATAATACACTTTGTGGATTTGTAATTTTTGTTTGTTTTTAGTTCTCATGAGATTTATTGAGTTCATGTAATTATACATGTTTTGTGCTAGTGATTGTTTTTACACCATGTTTTAGCTGACTCTAGTCTTTAATAGTGAAGGATAGAGGGGCATGTTAGTCATCTGCTTGCCTAAAAGCAAGTGTGATACACCAGACAGCTGCTGGATTTTACTGTTATAAACTAGTGAATTTAAATGTCATTGTGTTCTTTTCTAAATATGAAATGCTTGTGCTGAACAAGAGCTTCACAACTCTTTACTTATTTAACTAAAGCTACAAAACTTGAAATGAGTTTTTATTTTGTTGATAAAATCCTCCTTTTTCTAATACACTTAATACGATTTATACTTTTACACGTTTCTTACCACAGAAAGATCTTATTTGCAATATTTATGTCAGTGAATTTCTGTAATTTTGGATTTATTATGAAGGAGAATGTTTTTAATTTTGACTAACATTTCAATGCACTAACATTGCACACAATATTTTGTATTCTTAGTTAAAAACGTGAATATAAAACCCTTTAATAGAAAAATGAGACTATGTGAAAGTTCTGAAACTTTTTGTTTTTCCAAACTAAACCATAAATTTACACTCAAAAATTAAACAGTACATAAAAAACATGCCACCTATCCAAGAGTTAAATCTTGTCACATTTACTGACATTCTTTGTATGTCATTTATTACCTTAAGGAAACATTATCCCAGACTTTATTTATGTTATTTATGTGTTTACTATTAAATTGTCTCTCCAGGTTTTATCTTGGTTATTCTCAGATAGTTGTAGTTTGAAGCAGCTGATTAGATGTATGAAAATTGCTGTTTTCTTGTTTTTGAAACTGTTATTGCCCAGTTAAGTCTGTTAAAATATTGTTGGAACTATGTAATGTATATACATTTTATGTTTAACATATACTGTAGTCAAAAGATTATAACTACAGCTTATCACAAGTTTGTTGCTCATGTGAACCAATTCTAATATTTAGGGACTGAGGAAATAAAACATAAAAACCTCTATTCCACTCCCTTTCCCAGCAAGGCTCAATAAGCTTTCCTCATTAGCTAGTTTCAGTGGGTTTTAAGCCTTAGTGTTGTTGATAGCAATGGTAAAGAAACATACTCTAAGAAAATATATATTCTCCTAGGCTTCAAATTGCTTGTCTTTCCATATGTATGTGCATAGAAACCTTAAAAACTAATGTGTGACCTTTAGTAGTGTATGTGAATTCAGATAATTTGGTTATTATTTTCACACTATGATTTAGATGTATAAAGATGTTAAAGTGTACTGGTTAAAAGTGTATTTCAAATTATATAAGTAACACGGCGCCTCCATCTAACTAATAGGTTTTATTGTTTAAAAATTGAACCAGAGCATTAGATATCAAAGACGAGCATTGTTACTTTTTTTTACATGAAATCTGTCAAATTTTTTAAGATACTGTTTTATCCTATTTTATTATAGTATCTGCAATGCTTGAGATCAAGTGGCAGCTCTATAAATGTTACAATATATGACAGGATAGGCATTAAGAAGTTTGACAGATAAAACTCAAAAGCAAACCCCATTAGGACACCCACATGATATCTAAGCACATGTGGCTCATTTTATCCTGTACCTTGTGAGTGGGGTATGAACACAGTTTCAAAAATAGTGCCCCTTGGGATCCCGAAGGGGGCCAGAAACACAAAATCTAATGACAGGTTCAAGTTCATTGACCCTGTAAATCTATTCCTAGATTCCATCCCTGGATGACTTTCCAGGCACATTTTAGCCCCCATTGATAGGAGACAATATTATAGATAAGGTCACCCCAAAACTGCCTGCAAAATTTGGTTCTGCTTGCTTCAAAACTGTGGGAGGAGTTCGTGGTCAAACACACAATGTAAAATAATATGAGATAATAAAACCTTATAAAGGTTATTTGTTTTTCCACTAAATTTGCTTTTATATTGCTTTAAATTCTATAAACTTTTAAGCCAAGCCAACTCGTACATCTATGTATTATTAGACTAATTTCTGAGGACATTTATTACCAGGGTTATTAGTAGGAATGGATGTGTATCACCAGTTGGTAACTGTATAATCATTTGGTATTATCAGATTGCTTCATAGAAACCAAGTAACTAGGCTGAGCCTTACAAACTTGTATTATCATTTATTGTAACTTATAATAGGCGATGAAAAACATTTTGCATTATGGAATTTGTATAAAAATGGTTGTTGTGTTTCCTTATGTAATTTGTTTGTTTTGTAGTGGCCAGTTTTAATCAGAGCAGTTTGGTGTTATTCCTAAACCACTGCCATGATAAATCAAGTGTACATGATATTATAGCTTCAGCGAGTTGCTCTTTGTTACACATTTGTACAGTACCAAATATTTGCATGTTTCTGTTTGTAGGGTAGTTGTACAGTGTTTTTGTACATTGTAAAATTGCTTTGTAAAATGTTCAGGCTTGCTTGCTTGTGTACTCAGTCATTGACTTGAGAAAATCCTTTTTTCGAATAATCACCCAACAGCCTTTGGGTGCTGACTGGCAAGACCACACAGATACTGTGTTTGAATGTTGATATTTCTGTAACAATTCTACTACATGAAGTCTGCATCAATTAAGTAAGGAATGTGCCAGTTCTACCCAAGAAAGCTGAAATTCTTCACAGAGATCTAGGCATGTGATAGGAAGAATTTATCTTTGGCAGCTACTTGTATTGCTCATCATCCATATTTTATACCCAAACTGTTGAAGTGTATATATATTTTAGTCAGTTATAAGAATGTTACTGTTCTTGTTTCAATTTCAGTGTTTTCATGCTAAGAGTATCACTCACTATTTGGTCTTGTATATTGATAATTATTTAACAGGTTCATGGTCACAAAAAACCCTAAATTCTACTTGAGGCAGAATGACAATGATGATGATTTCAACTAACCTGGCATTTGTAAACATCTGTTATTAATTTTACTTGGCAATCACGGGATGATGTAGCCTGTAGTCGACCATGAGCGTGTTAAATAGCAAAAGGTATCTCTGCTGTATTATAGCCAGTCCGTGTTCTCTTGTTAAAATTATCTGCCACACTTACTGGCATTCTGAACTTTTATGGAATCATCTTTGTTGACTGAAATAAGAAATAAATGAAATACTCTTACAAGCCTGTGAGAAGTGTCTCAGTTTCTTAGAGCTAAAAGAACAGATATTTGTAAGTATAAAAGTACATTTTTAACTATAAGCAACAAATTAATTCTATGGCCGTGGTTTTGTTGGTCACATAGCCCAAACAAGATATTAATCACACAAAAATTTAAATAAAAATACAATCAATATTCCAGTTAATCCCATTAATTCCTGCTGGAACTCCTTACATTTTTTTATGCCGAAAATGAGTTATCCATGTTTTTGTGCCCAATTCATTACAGTGAGTGTTGTGACAGGAAAAGACATAGAATTACTCAGTATGCTATATTATATAAATACGATTAAAAGGGCCCCAAGCACTGTCATATTTCATGTGCTTCACAGCTAACTTTGTTCCTCGTGGTTTTCCAGCTTTAATGATTACAATGTTTCTATACATAGTGATATTTGTAATCTGAAATGCCTGGTAATGAAATTTTTCAATGTCGTCTTTATCTGCTTGATTCAATTATTCATAGATGACGCCACTTTTCCACCGTCCTTACATGAATGAAATAAATGCATATATAGTGGAATTCAAAACGTAACTACAAGTACCCTTTTATATATAAGCTTGAGAAAATATTCAGACTAAAAAAATCTTATTTCAAACAGTTTTTCAACGTATAAGGTATCCTACAATGGTACATTGAAATACTTATGAGATTGTTAAATATCATTTTAAAAAAGTATTTGGTATTTTCAAACCTGAACAGCACTTTATACGAAACATGGGTTTAGCCAGTTCAACGACCCGAAAGTTTAGGCATAGCTGTTCCTAATTTAGAACTAGTGACTAGAGGAGGATGGAGCAACCAGTAATCAGCACCAACCGCCTATAGAGCAACTCTTAACCAAGTAGCAGTATTTAATGTCACTTTTACAACGCGTAGCGTGTTCAGCGTTATAAAATGGGCTCGAACTTTGACCTTTCTCCGTAGCTGCCCCGAAGAAAGATTAATATACCCAATTTTAAAGATTTTTGTTTTTAAATATCGAATTACAATTCTTCGTTTTAAATCAGTGACTCACTTAATGACCCTATATATATTCAGGTGACTTGTGAGCTCTGGCTATTAATAGCTGGAGCAAAATCTTAAAACTAGTGTGGTAAATTATCCAAGAGTTATCACTGAAGCAAATATATATATATAAATTATAATGGAAAGCAACTTCTTATACCATGAAAGGTACGTGACGGAGCACAAGTTTATTCACAGGCACGTACGCAATGTTTGAAACCAGAGACGTATGTATCTAGCTTTGGGGCAAAGCACCGACGAGCCCCCCAAAGTAATGCAAGAAAACTTATAAATTTCTATACTTATAGCTGATCAATACGGACAGAACCCTAAGAAGATTGCACCGAGTAGTTTGAAGTGTTAAAATCGCCTCTGTTTGAAAGGTGGGTTCTAATTTGTGAGATCAAAAGCCAAGCAAAAAATGCTAATGCTTCATCAGAAAAATGTAGACTATTTGGAAAACGTTAAATATTATAAGCAGCTGCGCTATAACTATATAAGCATACTTTTTTTACTTCACAAAAATATTTGGTTCGGTTGGCCCCTACATACACACACACATATATATATAGATATGCGTATATTAAAAGTATGAATGACGGATTGAGCGGGGAATATAGAAATCAATGGAATTGCAATTAACGACCTGATTACTTATATCCCTCCTTCTCATTCCATGTGTGTTTGAGAGAGAGTGAAGGAAAGAACCAAGACATTACTAAAGATTCATTTCGCTCTACCTAGAGTTGCTAAAGTAAAAGAAGCATCTAAAACACGATATGTTTAACTAAAAAGATCTCACGATACTAAGAAAATTAAATTGTATTTTTATGTGAGCTAAGACATTATCAAACATATATCCTCATTAACAAACCATGTGATTCTGGCAGTAACGCAATCTGGTTTATAAACGTTTGTTAGAGAAGATTAAATCACATACAAATTCTGTGCATTATGAAGTAAAAATATATAAGCACATTTGTTATTAAAGTTTATACCATTAAACTTAAAATGACAGTTGTGTGATTTTTTTAAAAGAACAGCAGTATTGAAGAAAACCAAAGTAAGTTTAATGGTACACAGAAAACTAATTTATTTTAACCTCAAAATACAGTAAAATATTAACTCAATTATATGCTGAATGTAAATAAAAGTCTAACAGTCTCATACACTCTATTATGTTTTTTTTCGTTACTTCGTCATCCTCAGGAAGTCAATATTTTTTCAAAGCTAAGACCTCTATATATACCATACTGATAAATCACATCGTCAATACCAAATTTACATACTGATTTAACTCATTGAATGTTGCGCTATCTAGTGACAACTTGTTCTTTCAATCTTTCATCATCATTTAAAACATTAAAATTATTGTTTATTATATGTAATTGTTTCAATATTTTCACGGACATTTTTACAATCAATACTTGTAGATTGTGATAAACAATAGTTTTCCCATTAAATCATGTGTTTAGTTTCATTAGTAGGCTCAGTTGAAAGTGAGATTTTTATTTCATTATTTTTAACGCAGCTTTCATGTACGTGTAAACATCTTCTAGTCTGTCCTATACAAATATTCCACATTCACGTTATTTTATAAATGACCCAAGTTGGTTCACATGTTAGTAGTATTATTAAACATTAAAAATCTATATGTTTTCTTTTTAAATCTTCCAATCTGTTATTATCAAATTTAAAGTTCAAGACGACCCACAGAGTTTTTATATATTTTGCTTGTTTCTAGTTAAGTACAAACCTACACATTTGGACTATCTGTGTTGTGCTCACATTTTGTTAAAGTATAAATTTAAAAATAAAATTTTGTTTGAAAATAAATCATCAAATTATTAAATATGTTGTAATATAGCAAATTATGAATCAATTTGCAAATTTCTGTGGTTGATAATTTTTTTTTACTTTCATTGGTTTATTTTAATAAAGAAGAATGGTTCTGAGTTTCTGTGTGGTTGTTTTTGTTTTTAGCTCCGTCATCTCTTGACCGATTTGAGATCTAATTACAGTTTTGGACGCAAGAGGTGAAACTCTTTTGATTCGTGTCTTTGACCACTCCCAAGTTCTCATAGATTAATTTACTCTAATCCTGCCTAAAAGAATTTCAATTTGAGGATAGGCTGGTATAGATCCTGATGAGTAATCAAATCGAAACGGGTATACGCACGCTCCACGCTTGGTATTGCTGGTGCACAAAAATATAGCTAATAAAACAACAACAAAAAAGTCTCATAAATTAATTTACTCTAATCCTGCCTAAAAGTATTTCAGGTTTTGTCATCATCAGGTACAATGAAGAAAAACTTTAATATAAGTTTAACACAGCAGCAAATGTACAACGTCTGATGATGACAAAACCTTTTCGAAACGTTATACATTTGCTGTTGTGTTAAACGTATAATAAAGTTTTTCTTCATTGCCCATTCAAGCCGTCTCCAACCATTATTAATAACTAAAACAGTTTGTTCCTTCAATGTCCACCTTTAGCATAATCAGCGTTCACTGTAGGCCTAATTTCAAAAATAAACTTAGTCTAACAGAAACTCCTTATTTTTTAATTTCGTATCTCTGTTTCATCGTCGGAACACAAATTTAGTCAGTTACCAAGCGTCTTCTACTGTCAACCAGTTAGTCAGTACTGTGAATGTTGTAAGTCCGAAGACATACCGCTGTGCTACTGGGGGCCTCTAGTTCAAAATGAATATTATAAATGCTTTTATGCATACTTAAAAACTACAGCAAGTGTTTGTTGAAGTCAATTTTTTCAGTCTGTACATTTTTCTCTCGAAAATTTTTATTGTTATTAATTAAGACAGAAGGAAATTTCACCTAACATGATGAATTTGTTTTTTTTAATTCGCGCAAAGCTACACAAGGGCTATCTGCGCTAGCCGTCCCTAATTTAGCAGTGTAAGACTAGAGGAAAGGCAGCTTGTCATCACCACCCACCGCCAACTCTTGGGCTACTCTTTTACCAACGAATAGTGGGATTGACCGTCACATTATAACGCCCCCACGGCTGAAAAGGCGAGCATATTTAGTGTGACGGGGAATCGAACTCGCGACCCGCAGACTGCGAGTCGATCGCCCTAACCGCCTGGCATTAATGTTTGGAACTTTCTCCGACGTTTAGGAAACAACTTGAATCATATATAGCAAGCAAATTTAGATGAAATGTGTTAGCAAATTCATGGTACAAGAAACCGGGTTTCGATACCCGTGGTGGGCAGAGCACAGATAGCTCATTGTGTAGCTTTGTGCTTAATTACAAACAAACAAACAAACTGAACTAGAGTTTGAAACTACTCGGCAGCATATTTATGGTCTGAAACTAGTACGAAACAGCATGATCCGTGAAAAAGATTCAACGTTAAAAGTTTTAGATATTTGTTTAATTTCTTCATTCAGATCAACTTTTTGTTTGTTTTTATCTGTATGGTATTTGCATTAGTTCGAACCCATGTGGTAGTTTTAATTATTAAAAGGTCATTACCAGGAAGTGTTAGTGAGTAAATCTTTAGCTCAGTTCATAGAACAATCATCTGTAGTGCAAGCACTCTCGGGTTCAAATCCTACCTTGTTACGTATTAGAATTTCGAATAGTCCGAAGCCGAGTTAACCGATAATTTAAATTTAGTATTTAATTTGTGTTTTGGATTTAATATTTAAATATACGCCAATATTTTAGTAAATTTACGATATTTGCGAACAAGATTGATACACACCGTCTTCGTTTTTAACACAAATACGTTTTAATATACACACAACAATACAATTTACAGTAACAAGTATT